CACCGCCGTTGCCCGTCGCCATTGATGGGCTCTTGCGATGAGCAAGAGAGCCTGACCCAGTGACAGCGTTCATTGTCGTTGGTCGAGATGGGACAGTTCCACTCGGAGGCGATCGAAGTCTTTCACCAGGTGACGGACTGGAACTCTTGTTTCGTAGTTGATTCAAAGACGTGCCAGAAGAACCGCCAATTGAGCCAGTGTACGAGTTTGTTGGGCTGGCTGCCGTCGTCAGTATATGCGGCGCGCTTTTGAGGTTGGTCAAAGTAGCACGTGGTGGCGATGTCGAGTACAGGTGTGTCGCATTGCGAGAAGCGGGTGATGTTGATGCGCTGGCGACGAGTCGTGGCGTGACGGCTGACGTCGGTGTCGTCGCCGCCGAGAAGCTCGTCGATGATGAACCGAAACTGAGACTCTGAGATGCAGAATGTGTGCGAAATGACGTTGCTGTCGACCCTGGTTGAAAAGCCTGACTTGACTCGGCAGTTGCGATCGAGTTTGAGCGACTGAGGTGCAAAGGTGGTGGAGGAACACGAGCTGACGGTCTCCGTACAGGTACGTTCATCAACGAAGTGTTGGTCAATGTGCTGGCCGAAACGCTCCCAGCTGCGTCTGACGGCAGAGACGGACTTGTGCTTCTGCTTCCGACCCCGTTATTGGCAAATCTTGCTGCGAAAGGTGACGCGGGTGAGGCACATTTATTCCTGAGAGCTTTGATAGCGACCGTGATCTTGACCCTGTCTCCAACACTGCGCACGCCCATCTCTTTCAACGCCGTTTGATCAACGTCGAGCAGGACGTGGCCTCTAATGTCGTTGCGCTTGAACGTGTCTTGTAGTTGGCCGACCCCAATGTCGCTCAACCACTGTGCAACTTTGTCGTCGTCCCACGTCTTGACAAAGTCCTGGTATGGTCGTTTTAGAGCGTCAGGATCTTCTGGAAGGGAAAATTGAACTCTTGAACCAAGGCGTGATGCCGGTCGTGAGCCAGTGCCGTTGCCCTTGTCGGTCATGCGAGGTGTTGTTGCCAATGTGGGCGAGTTGACACGAGATCCGTGCGCCAAAGCCATTCTTTCAGGAGACCTGGTTCGCTCGTCCTTGAGTGGCGAGGACCGACGTTGACGCGGTTCGTGTAGCCCTTTGCGGCCACGCTTTCAGGTGTTTCTTTTTCTTGTCAATATCAGTTGAATCGGTCAAGCATGCAGGTCAACATGCGTTGCAGTATGCAGCTCGAGTGTCGCGAGGGTTTCTTTGTCTCGAGCTGCGGAGTAGGTGAACGCGTTGCGATGGTCTGGCTGCACCAAAAAGCGCGTCAGTGCTCGTTATCGTCTGATGGAGTATCATGCAGCAGCAGGCAGGGCGCCATGGGTCCCTGTCACACAACCAAAGCCGTTCTAAGCCGAACAAAGGCTTTGTCTGCCTGAGAGCCATGTCACGAATGACCATGGCGTCTCGGCGGCACAGATCCATGTCTTTCATTCACTTTTGAGAGCTCGCTAGAATGATCAAAACCCTGCGCCTCACCTGTCGTGTATGAGCAGACACGCGTTCCGATTGCGAGCTCACGAAACGCGTCACAACTTCTGACGGATAATGCACGGGCCTGCTGTGAGGTACTAGACACGTGCAAGGAGGTTACACGTGCCGGCGACGACCTGCAGAAATGAGGCTTATGTCGTCGCTAATGGATTGCGTGAGCCAGTCGTCGCTTGGAAGCGGGCGATCGACATTTTCGAAATTTGAACAACGCGTGACGTATAGACACGGACACATGTTGTTTAAAGACTTGAGATTGATTTGGATTACATGTCACACTCGGCTTGTTACAAGTTTTGAGATATTGCATTTGAGAGGTCACGTGAGTTGTCGATCCTTCACCGGACACGTCATCATCAGCCCAGGACAGACTCTGGCGACTTGAACAACAGCAGGCAGCGGCTTCAATGTCCTCACGAGCGTATTCAACACGCGATCCTGCTGACACAAACGACAGTCGACAGCTGCCATAATCGTTCATTCGTGTCTCGAAAAGGCAACCAAGCTGAGCGATACGGTGCGCAGCATTCAAGCGCGATGACGAACCGTCAGTCAACCTTGGTTTTCTCTCGCTCCGTGCTCTAGTAACACGCATTTGATTGATAGGTGAGTGACCACACACGGTACCATCACGCCAACAAGCACACTTGGCCATCAATGCCGAATGTACCAACACTGTACAACCTGCAGCGCGCGCGCTCTCTCGCCAGAGCTCGGTCAGACCCGTTCTCACGCTGACAATGCAATCTCGCTCAACAGACACTTCTAGAAAACATGCCTGCCAAGATTGCCGTCATCTACTCGTCGACCTACGGTCATGTCAGGTGCGCTACATGCACTGTCGAGCAACTTTCGATCTCGAAGCTGACGATCGGCCCCACCTCGTGATCAGAACTTTGGCAGAAAAGATTGCAGAGGCTGCCAAAGGTGCAGGTGCAGAAGTCGACTTGTACCAATTCCCTGAGATCTTGTCAGACGAAGTCTTGCAAAAGATGCACGCTGCCGTCAGTCCGCTCGACTGTGGATTGATTCTGGGTCACCAACTAACACTTGTATCCGTTGTGTAGCCCAAAGCCGAGTACCCTGTCATCACACCCAACGACTTGACCAAGTACGACGGCTTCTTGTTCGGTATCCCCACTCGGTGAGCTCGAGCTTGAGATGTCACATCATCCTTAATCGCCCAACCTTTGCTGACGTCCTCACTCGGTGATAGCTACGGCCGCGCCGTCGCCTCGGCTTCAGCATTCTTTGATCAAACTGGTGGTCTCTGGGCTCAGGGTGCCCTCGTTGGCAAGTTTGCGTGAGTGTCCAGTAGCAAATCTTCTGTTCTTGCATTTATTGACAGCTTTCAACTCGCTGTTGTCGTCCAACAGCGGTGTCTTTGTACGTTCATGAGCTTGAGCACTTGCTGTATCTTGATTCGGGACATTGACTTGCTTCTCGCACGCGACAGCACTCGACTGCCTCACAACACGGCGGTCAAGAGACAACTACTTTGACCACGTTGCCATTCTTTGCTCACCACGGCATCATCTATGTTCCAATTGGCTACACTATGCAAGCACTCGCCAAGAATGACGAAATCACGGCTGGCTCAGCTTGGGGTTCAGGTGCTATTGCCAACGGTGACGGTTCACGTCAACCTACTTCGACAGAGTTGGAAGTCGCCGCTTACCAAGGCAAGAACTTTGCCGACATTGTGGGCACCTACGTTGCCGGCAAGGCCAAGTAAGTTCTTTAAGTGATCATCACAAAGAAATCAAAAAGAGTTTAAAGCAGTGGTAGATGTTGGAAAGAACCACAGTGTCTTGCAATCAGAAGATTCTGCGTGTTGTTTTGACACTATGACACTCGAACTCGTGTTTGCGTACGATTCGAACAGAGGGCTTACATTCGTTGTCTCGCGACTGTGTAGGTTGGCCGGTGGATCGGATGCTGTTGCCGCGAAAGCTGTCCCTGCGTCGGGTGAGCTCGTTGCAAGTTGTGCAAGCTCGACAAAATCACTGAGCTTTCGATACCATTGTGCAGCCACCGCTGTTTCTTCGGAACCAGCAGTGCAAGAGTCCAAGCCATACCAAGTTGACAACACGACAGCACCAGCAACGGCAGCCACTCCAGCTGAGAATGCTCAACCCGCCGCCGCAGCCACACCAGCGCAACCTACAACTACCGAGCAGCCTTCCTCTACACAACCAACGACAGCTCAACCTGTTCAAAAAGCGGCTGAACGAGTTGTTGACAAGCAACAGAAGAAAGGTGGTTTGTTTGCAGGCTGCTGTGGCAAGGCGAACCATTACGATTCGTAAAAGTCAAGCTCGTGGTTTCGTAGACTTGGCACGGCTACAAAGAATGGAGCTGAAACATAATGTTGCAATCACAGTGAAATGAAATTTGTGCGTATGGGTGCCGGGAGCTTGCGTCTTGCCGGGTTTGTAACCGGAGAACAAGCACATTTCAATGACTCTTCAGTGTCTCGCATCGTTCACCATGGAGTCTGAGGCCTTGAAGTCTTGTGACGGTCATGGATGTCCACATCCCAGCCTTGTTGCACTCGAGGTCTGGGGTTCTCCCCTGTATACAGGAGCTGGTACAAGACTCGATCGCCACAAGCGCGTCAACGATTCTCAGATGGATATTTGAAGTTTGCCGGAGCATCGTGACCGAGCCACAGCAGGAATCGTTTACGAGCCTGGCAACAAAGGCATCGAGCATGTGCATCGAAAGGAAAACGCACTCGAAACTTGATATATGAGCCCCGCAGGTCATACACATTGCCGTTTGCATTGCCTGACAGGATAGAGAGTCCGAATTGCCGTCAAGGGGTCGTAGACAATCCTGGCCGGAATCGATTTGAACACGTTCTCTGATGTGTAAGCCGTGCACGCACAATCGCCACGCTAGATCATACACAGGGTTGGTAATCTTTTGGAGTAAGACGAGCACTACGCATCAAGTGGCGTGAGCGGCAGAGCCATTGCGAGTGCGACTCGGCCTGCCAATGTCGAGTCAGAGGCTGGACCCAGCTGTAAAGCGTGCGTCTTGTGGGCTTCTTAGAAGCGCAGAGATTGTGAACTCTTTTCTGACAACTGCCATGGACCAAATTGTGTCCATGACGTCTCGGTGTCGAGCGCAGATCTGGAGAATCAAACTTGAAAAGTCCGCGGTGCCGGCTGAACACAGGACCTGCTTCTCCCTGGTGGCCAGCGAAGTGACCCGAGATTTTGGACAAGTGCATGTCGGCAAGTCGATGGGGAGAGGGGCTGGAAGCTAGCCTTTCCGTGACAACGCGGGTGTCACGTCGAAGGACGAGAACAACTGGTTGCAAAAATTTGGACAGCGCACTAATGAGCACGATGCGACCTGATCACGGTGTCCCAACGTCTAAATTGCTGCCGCAGCCCCGGCGCGAGTGCAAAAAAAGAATTGAAACGCTCGCGGAGCCCCAGCGAGAGGGAAAAAAAGAAGCGACCACCGCAGGGATCGAACCTGCGATCTCTTGATGATCGAATAAACCGAAGTCAAGCGCCTTACCACTTGGCCAGGTGGTCGATCATTCTTGTTGATATTGTCAGGTGGCGGCAACGCGTGTTGTCCTGATTCGCCAAGCGGGCAAATTTTACAAAACACGCAAAGTTCGTGCTTGGCATTCACTCGAGCCCGTCACAAAATGACTCGCTGCAGCTGTATGCTCACGAGTGACTTGTGCTCGTGTGGCAGCTTGTCTAGATAGCGGCAATGCAATGAAGCAACTCGTATATCAAAAAAATATTCACGTGACTCTCGGCGGTCAATTCAACATCGGCCAAAAGTCGAAAATTTGACCGCGCAGCGCCTCGATCCTCTTACGTTCATCGTCATCTTTCATCGGCTCTTGACTCGCCAGACCCAAACAGGATCGAACCAATTGCAAGGTCTCGACGTGTATCCTCGGTCCGTGACCGGCAAGCGCACCGAAGAACGTCTTGCCGGTCTCGGCTACGAGGAAGTCGCCTCTTGTCATGTCGTCCAGCGCTCGTACGGACAAATGATGTCCGTCTTCGGCGTATTCGAAAGCCGAGGCTTGCCTTTTTATCTCGGCTATGGCCAAGTCGGAGAGGGCGGGACCAGATTCAATGTCGGGACCAGACCATGCAACGACGACGTCGTCAACGTGTCGAGACCCAAGTTGGCAATCTGATCCTTTCAGAGTGTCCAGGTCGCTTTCCTGCAAGCGAGACTGGCGTCGAGTGACAGTCGGGAACGACGATGCAGTGAGGCCGTTCAAATGGGTCTTGACATTGACTAGCGCATCAATGATGGAAGATGGAGCTTTCCAGCTCGAAAAGACGCCTCCAGATGCAGAGTTGAGCCGACCAGCTCCCATGAATGCTATGCCGAGCTCTTCTAGCTTTGATGCGAGTGCATGGTTTGCGAGCGCACCGACACTGCCGGATGACTAACGCCAAATGGTCGCCTTGCAGGTCAAATCGAACGCAAGGAAATCTTTTGCGGTTATTCTGTTGGCTTCCAGAAAGTTCTGAAGTCGGGTCGCATCTTGACGTGAGTCGTCCTGCTCCGCCCTTTCTTCCGCCCCGAACGTGCCACTGAGGCCACCGTAAAACCGTGTCACCTGTTCATTCTCTGCAAGGTCTGCGCGATCCACATTAATGAACAAACCCTCTAACGCCTTGCCGGCTTGGAACTTTTTCGAATAAGTGCTTGACCACTTTTCGTGCTGCGCCCTTGTTCCCTTGAGCACTCGCAAATAGACACGGACCCTGTATTGAGGGATGCCTGGTTGCTCTTTTGGTGAAGGAATGAGGCCTGGTGACCGTTCAGCATTGAATGTCAGCGGATTGCTGCCGAGGTCGGCGAGTATGTCCAGCAAACGAGCGTTGTCGAGAAGAACGGCAGCAAGTGGGCTGCTCGTGCGAAAGGCGTTCGATCATCATACGAGTACATCGGATCGACCATTTGCACAAGGGCGTCAAGTTTCGCGTGCGCATCGATCAAAGTAGAGGGTGCGAGCCGAGAACAAACATCGGCGCATTGTTGAAACGCGAGTTCTAGCTTGCTCGCCCGTGTGGCAAGCACATCGGCATATTGCTTCGTCTTGTTATCACGCTCTTCTTGCTTTTCGTTTGTTGCCAGTACCGAGGCGCGGTCCCTCCTCTTGCGGATGGCTTCGTCCGTTTGAGCAAAATGCGAGTCTAGACCTGCTGCGCCGCGTGTGCGACATGAGGTTGTCAACAAAGGTCAGAGAGACGGTCGATGACAGGGAGGCCTACCCTTGGCCGGACCAGCCCGAGTCTCTTCAGATCGAGTCTCTTGCTTCTGCTCGTGAAGATCGCTTGCGCCATCCCTCTGTTTGCGCTGACCTTGTAATGCTGCCGCACAGGACAATTCTGCAAAGCGACCAAAGCGATCAGTCTAAAGGCACGTTTCGAGTCAGCCTATCATGCATCGCTCACCAGATGTAGCGTCGTCTATGGACAATGAAACTCGCATCTGACCTCGTCAAGAACGTCAACGGCCACGTTCCGAGACGGTCGAGTTAACAGAGACACTGACCTTTGTTGTAGACTCGGCAAGCACTTTCTCCTCGTCAATAGCATCACCATTGTCATCGTCATCGTCGTCAATGACGAGCACCTCGACTTGTTTCTGCTTGCCCTGGGAACGGAGACCGTGTCCACGTGCTGCAAACGCCACACATTTGTGCGTGAGACTGCTGAACCTGCTGGAGCGACTCGAGACGTCACTCACTGTCGGCGACGTGTCGCGTTCGGTTGTCGACAACCTGCTCAGATGCGTCAATGGATCAGCTCGAGCATAGATCCGACGAGTCAAACGCCAGTCACCTCCTGCGCTTTGCCGAGCCGGGGGGCACTCGTCCCAAACAGTTGGTTTGCAAGCTCTTGTTGTGCCGAGGTCAAACTCTGGGCAATTGAGATAGAATGCACTCCTCAGTGTCTAGTCCTCAGAACAAAGAGGTCTGACTCGCTCGAGGATGGGCCTTACATGAGACGAGGCGGATGCCGCCGAGGAGTTCCAAGTGCGCGAAGCAGCAGCGCTGTGACGTCGGGAGTTGTCGTTAGTAATGATCGGACCGCACTTGAACGAGAAGCTTACCGCGGTGGAGAGCGCGGCCCAGCCGTCATCTTCAAAGCACTGAGGGAACGTCGAGTCGGTGCCAAGTGCAGACATCGAGACCAACACACGACAGACTCACTCCTTTGGTTCCTTGTAGCTGCAGCAGATTGGCAACGTCAGTTGAAGCACGACCGTGTCGACAAAGAGTGGCTCACGTCGACAAGTACGGATTGTTCGTTGCGGTGAAACTGCACAAAAGTCAGCACGCCCGTATTGGCGATCAACACCTTTCCGCTCACATTGTCCTGCAGGCGACACTCGTCAGTCCCTCGTTACCGTGACTCGAGAGGGCAGAGCTCACCTCAAGTCCATCGTGGTCAACTTGTTGCTATCGGTCTCGCTTGCCTGGCTGTCAGTGTCAGGCACAAACAAAGAGTCGCACATGAGCTCGACAGGACAATGATACGAGCCCCAAGAGCGCTCACCGAGTCCGAGCACGTTTGCTGAGCTTCAAGTCGTCAATCAAACTGCTCACATCAGTTGTCAGCGACGGTCTGGCTGTTGCCGGGCGCGAGCGTACACGTCAACAGAAGAGCTGCCGAGCAACGCGCCCGTCAGCAAGGTCCCGCACTGACCAATAAATACGACTCACCTTGGACCATCTTCATTGTCACTGCCAGTGATTGTGCACTTGCCTGGGTCTGCCTCGTTCTTGCTCCTCACAGGCGGTTGACGAGCCAGCTCACGGATGGGTTTGCTTGTCGGTTACAGCATGTTGACTGTGTTGTGAAATCTCGATCAGCATCCGAAAACGATAGACTGGGAACCCCTCGAGTTCAAATTCCGCTGACCGTTCTTTGAACTTGCGATTGCTGCCGGATCTCACAAAGGGTCAGCTCATCAGTCGAATGAGCGAATGGCGCACGAGCGTACCGCTTCATTCGTCGCGACATCTTTTGCTCAGGCTTGTGATCAACGGAATCAGTCACGGCAACGGTCAGGTCATCGTTCGAGATCCTGCATCATCATGACGAGGGGTTGAGCGACTGGCCGCAATCCGTACTCGACGAGGCTCACTCGGGGTCAGCTGGACCAATTGATACTCTGCATGGAGACAAACGTCCGTACAAATCAGCTCAGCGGCCAACGCAGGTCCTCGTAAACACTCACTCGACCTGCTCAGTGTTCGGGCCCTCGGCAACGAGAGGTGACTCCACCTGCGAGCAACGGATGACGAATCAACACGGGACGAGCTGTAACAAGAGTCCCACTCAGAAATGGAGCTGACTCTTTGCTGGTAGGCGTAATTTTGCGCTCTTCGGCTGACGGGTCGCTAAAACAGTCGACGGACGCGACTGGTTTGTCAAATTTGGCCTTTGCTGAATGTATGCAATCGACGCACCGACTGTCAGGTGTTGCAGACGAGTCAGTTCGTGTCTACAGTCGGAAATCCACGTCTCTCACTTACACAAAAGCTGGTCCAACGTCACCAAACATGACGCTGTCGCGTCGCAACGAGCGAGGGGTCAGTGCGCGCCGGTGGAATTTGGAACCTCGAGAGGCTCGTGCGTGGCCATGAAAGCGACGACCTACGGCGTAAATACCATGCTGAGCGTGCACATGTAGAGTCATCATAATGTCACTAGTCTGCCGGCAACCTTTCGGTGTAGATATAGGGGACTAACAGGGGGGACGAGGGCGGCGATCGAGAGGGCAAACCATCAATCGATTGTGAACCGCGAGACATTGCAATTGAGGCGAGAGGGGTGAGGTCAAGTAGATCAAGTGTGTTTGAGCAAGTGCTGAAGCTGAGCTACGTTTAGCGTTGATGATTCGAGTATGAGAGCGAAAACAGCGTGAGCTCGATCGACCAACGTGCTCGTCAAAGTCCCACCGTAGCCGCTCCGAGCACGACTTGGGCATTAATCGCCGCGTTTCGCCCGATCTGAGAAGCATGTTTGGGCGCTTGACTTTGTTGCTGACCCGCCCTTGGTCGTTCTCAGACCGCCACCAGATTGTCGAGCACGGTAGTGGGCTTGAGCCACCACTACTAACGAGGTGCAATGAGAGCCGGCGACGAGAGTGCGACATTGAACACGAGCCGTCAGTTTTAAGCTTTCATCGGCCAGAGCCATGGTCTGACAACCCCGCCACGAGGTGTTGAGGCACGGCAAAGTCTTTGAGTGGCGCTTGCTGCCACGTGCTTGCTCGGCGAGAACCCCCAGAGGAAAGAGACCTAGAGTGGCCCATGAAATGTGCTTCCAATCACTTGGGCCAAACAGAGCACCATCGACTACGCCGGTTCCGCCAGTGTGAGGTTCAACAGGTCGCATTCGCCACTTGTGAATTGAAGCGCTCGTGCAGTCCGACGATTCAAGATACTGCAATTGACCAGATTTAAAAGCATCGGAATGGGCGAGTTCGGTCAGCGCGCAGAGTCGCACCTCGCGCCATCCCACGATGAGTGTATTCTGAC